GGGGGGGGAGCTTGCCCCCCCTGAAACTCCCCACTGTTGGGAAGGACTTCCTTAACGAGCGACCACCCCATCAAAATCAAACACAATAAAGAAGAGGCCTAGACCTACCCCTACCCTTACCCCTACCCCAAGCCCTCAATTCTGCTCTGTCTCATAGTGGTCGTTCGTTACGGAAGTCCTCCCACGCTCTAAGACTAAGAGTGAGTCAAAGTAGAAGTCATTGGCTAGAAGTCCAAAGTAACAAAAACGGATGAAAAGGCGACGAAGAACCTCTCCTTCTCACTCTCTCTCTAGACTCTACAGACTACATACCACGACCGGGACTGCAAGAGCAAGGGTGAAAATAATCTTTGACAAGTTATCTACATCCATTGTAGAAAAATCCGAAAAATCTTTTGGCTAATAGAATCTAGATCTAGATCTAGATCTTGTCATAAACAGTAGATCTAAAGAACAAGCAGTGAACGCCTCCTCCTATCTTCTCGCAACCGGAAGGGCAATTGAGAATGAGAAATTGATTGTTGTGGGCTGCTAAGCTTGGCCTACAACATCCTGCTTCGCCAAACAAATTTATCCATTAGTACAGTCTGCAAAGGTCACTCAAATGGGTGCGCAAGAGATAATTCTCTATGAACATGCATGTATCCACGTCTATATATTGCTATAATTTGTGTCTAAATTTTGCGATCAGAATATAGCAAAAGGTTGAAGTAAATAGAAAGCTAACAAACACGTTTGCAAAATTCAGTCTTCAAATAACATAATATATATTATATATATATATATGTTTGATTCGTCAAATTCACAAAACAGAAACCTCAGAAAAAAACATAACAAAACAATTTAACTGCTTAATGGCGACAAATTTATTAACCCGCTCTTGTCTTCGTCTGCCGGTTTGGGAAACATGTAAGCCTCGGGCCTATAATTAACTACTAGGCTAGAATGTTACTATTTAAATATTACCCCCCCCCCCCGAGACTGAGTGTATGTAGTTGAACATAGCAATATAATATACAGTTTGGCACTCTCATATTAGCGAAATTGGTAGGGAAACTGAAATCTTTTCGTCATAATGCAGGCTTACGGATATCTCGCTATGTTTTTGTACGTGTTTTGAAGGCAAACAATATAATAAACATGATGTAGGCCTACAGGTATAAAGATACAAAATTCGGAACCTGATGATCTATGTTCGATTTGTGCGTGCTAGACAATGACACGAAATTTTTAATTTTAATTTAGCAACAATAATTGCTATAAATCGCCCCTGTGCTTTTTTTTTTTTAAGCGACTGCTTTTTATTAAGTAGCATCGTTCAGCAGGCACTATGTTTCATTGGTAGTCTTTCGTGCCTCTGTGTATGTTTGAGGACTCGTCGGTCTGTCTTTTCTTCCCTCTGTGAAAGCTAGGGCGAAGGCAAGACATTCTAATTTCTAATGTTTAAGTTTAAGTTCGATGACAGCCCGGGTCTTTTCAATCCTTTCGAGTTCTTTCACTCAGAGGAGTACAAAGTAAAGATAAAAGATTATAACTTAGACACAGAGTAAACACGGAACTATAAATAGATTAACAGAAAGGATCATGTGACTGGGCACCCCCATGGGTCATGTGACGAGTGACGGTGCTTTTTTTTAAAAATCTTGTTTTCTTCGTTCTAGATAATGATAGGATTATCATATGATGATGGAGACGAGCGCGTCTCGAAGTTAAGACACAGAATAGGCTAAGTTGTGTAATATGTATATATATAGCCCAAGTCTGCGGGGCGAGAGAACATTCATGTCTTGGGCCGAAGTCCGTAATCACACGTATGCCTAATTTAATTATTTGTGTTCTCAACGTCGCCACGTTATATCCCTATCAATAATATTATACTTACCGCGGTAACCCACAACATTGGGGGAAAGTATGATTAGTGCGTATAGCGCTTATAGTCTATGCGTCCTTTATTTATACAACAACGCAAAATAAATTGTTGTTAAAAGAGGGTTGGCGCCTATATGAATATGCTTAGCGTTCTTGTGATTCTCTAAAACAAAATTAATTAAAAATCCGTATTATGATCGTACCACAATATTACACACATGTATCTGAGGTACCAACAGATGAAAACG